GGACCTGAATATGGTTCATCGCCGGTGATTGCTTTCAGCTCTGCCATTCCACCTTGGCAGAGGATGCTTGGGAACAGGAGTACTGTAATGAATTCGATTACGGTAGCCCTGTAGCCTGAAAAATAGAAGGTGTCCCATGATAGGACGTATCCTTGCCTAAGAATTTATCTTATGACCACTTAATTGCGGCCAGTCGTTTTCCGTTGTAAAGGTCAGGTGACATTAGACAAAAGGGGGTGGAGGGCGAACAAAGGCAACCTTGACAGGGGCTTACAACATGTCGCTCGAAGGCATACGGCCACTCAAACCGCGGTCTTCGAAATGGCACGTTGCCAAGGACACTAGTAATGGTAACTTTAAGATTCTTCTAAGAATACTGAATGACTGCGATGTACTCGGGAATATCTATCACCAACTTGACTCCCGATCAATTCCTATGGGAACGGCTAATCATAAAAATCAGAGGAACCTTTTATTCAAATAGCTACTACTACAGTAATCTCTCAGCCCCTGCTACCCTGCTACAGTAACCTCTAGGTTCATAAAATATTACAATAGTAAGCCAATACAGGTGTCCTTTTAGAATTTCTGTGTCGGCAAGGAATTTTTGAGTCACATACGAAATAGCAAATGTAAGTTCCACAAATAGGAGTTGCGTCCAGTCTGTAGACGATTGATCACCACGTTCAAATTTGGATTGGGGCCTTCCCCGCAGCCCTATAGACGCTCAGGCTAGGCACACCTAGCTGTCAATGAATGTATTGTCGTAGGATTCAAAAATTAGAAGAGTTGGGTAGAAGCCTTCCCTCCCTAGAGGGACACTGTCTTCGAGGACCTTCAAGTTCCCTGGTTTAGGTGTAATGGTCCGTAAAGGCAGATAAGTCAAGCTCAAAATCTAGAAGTAAAGCTTACCGAACACGATTATGCTGGCGATCATGATCACTCGAATATAGAAATGCAGTAGCGAGGGAGGATGGGCCTCCTATGCTCCTTTCATAGTGTCGACGATAACCGGTTAGTGTCCGTCGTCAGCAACATGTTACACACCTCCTACCATCACGGGGGAAGCCTGAGTCACCTCCCCATCTACACAATGGTTTTCTGTGGGGTAACAAGGTGTAAGGGCATTTGGCGAACCATCAGTTCACACTACACGTTACCGTATCTGGTTTGCTATGTAGAAACAATTGCTTTGTTACTGCTGCAATCTTTATCAATGGCTGATACCCGCATAGTTACCCTAATAAAGCGAAACAGCACAGAAATATCGGAAATATCGTTGTGGTGTACAATGGCGTGGACTGGATACGGTAGCTTCACATGCTGGTGTAGAGACTGGCGGCGAACACAATGTC